ATTCAGGGGGCTGGAGAGATGGCTCAGTGGGTGAAGTCCCGTGCTTCCATGCTATTTGAATACGCACGTACGTATCCCTCCCTGGAGAGATGGCCTAGAGGTTAAGAGCACTGCTTGCTCTTCCAGAGGTCCTGAGTTTAATTCCCAGCAACCACATGGTGGCTCACAACCATCTAGAATGAGATCTGGTGTCCTCTTCTGGTGTTCAGGTGTACATGAAGGCAGAACATTGTTTACATAATAAAATAAATCTTACAAAAGAAGAAGAAAAAGAATATGTATCCTCTCACTGGCATTTAGAATACAAATGGATGTGCTAGTTAAGTATCTTCATGTTTGTAATGTGCAGACCCATACTTTACTAACTGGGCTTTATTCAACAACTGAGTGTGTGGGAATATCTCAAGACCGGGATTCCTATAAAGGAAATGTAAGTTTTGTTCTCTTTTTAAAGATAAGACTCACCGTGTAACCTAGGCTGCCCTTGAACTCAGAGAAATCTTCCTGCATTTGGGTGGGTATTAAGAACACAAGTGTGCAAGGCACATATCTGAACATAGTAAAAACAATATACAGCAAGCCTATAGTCAACATCAAAATAAACAGAGAGAAAATTAAATCATGCCCACTGAAATCAGGGACACGGAAGGCTGCCCACTCTCTCCATACCTCTTTAGCATAGTTCTTGAAGTCCTAGCTAGAGCAATAAGACAATTAAAGGAGATCAAGGGTATACAAATTGGAAAGGAAGAAGTCAAAGTATCACTATTTGCAGATGATATGATCGTATACCTGACCGACCCCAAAAATTCTAGCAGAGAGCTCCTATAGCTGATAAACACCTTCAGCAAAATGGCTTGATACAAAATTAACTAAAAAAAAAAAAAAAAAAAAAAAAAAAAGAAGCTCTCCTGTATACAAAAAACAAAAGGGCTGAGAAAGAAACTAGGGAAACAACACCCTTCACAATAGCCACAAAGGACATAAAGTACCTTGGTGTGACCCTAACCAAGAAAGTCAAAGACTTGAATGAAAAAAAATTTCCAGTCTCTGAAGAAAGAATTAGAAGAAGATATCAGAAGATGGAAAGATCCCCCAAGCTCATGGCTCGGCAGGATTAACATAGTAAAAACAGCCATCTTACCAAAAGCAATCTACAGATTCAATGCAATTCCCATCAAAATACCAACACAATTCTTTATAGACCTTGAAGGAAAAATTCTCAACTTCATATGGAATAACAAGAAATCCAGAATTGCCAAAACAATCCTCTACAGTGAAAGATCTTCTGGAGGTATCTCCATCCCTGATCTCAAACTGTACTACAGAGCAACAATACTAAAAACTGCATGGTACTGGCATAGAAACAGACTGGTGGATCAATGGAATCGAATAGAAGACCCTGAAATAAACCCACACACTTATGGACATCCGATCTTTGACAAAGATACCAAAACCATTCAATGGAAAAAAAGATAGCATCTTCAACAAATGGTGCTGGTCTAACTGGATGTCTACATGCAGAAAAATGCAAATAGATCCTTACTTACCACCCTGCACAAAACTAAAATCCAAGTGGATCAAAGACCTCAGTATAAAACCAGACACATTAAATCGGTTAGAAGAAAAAGTGGGGAAGAACCTGAAACTCATTGGCACAGGAGACAACTTCCTGAACAGAACACCAACAGCACAGATCAACAATCAATAAATGGGACCTGATGAAACTGAAAAGCTTCTGTAAAGCAAAGGACACTGTCATCAGAACAAAACGACAGTGTACAGACTGGGAAAGGATCTTTACCAACCCTATATCTGACAGAGGGCTGATATCCAGTATATAAATAGAACTAAAGAAGTTAAAAAGCAACAAATCAAGTAATCCAATTAAAAAATGGGGAACAGAGATAAACAGAGAATTCTTGATAGAGGAATATCGAATGGCAGAGAAACACTTAAAGAAATGCTCAATGTCATTAGTCATCAGAGAAATGCAAATCAAAATGACCCTGAGATTTCACCTTACACCCATCAGAATGGCTAAGATCAAAAACTCAAGTGACCACACATGCTGGAGAGGTTGTGGAGAAAGGGGAATCCTCCTCCACTGCTGGTGGGAATGTAAACTTGCACAACCACTCTGGAAATCAATCTGGCACTTTTTCAGACAACTAGGAATAGCGCTTCCTCAAGATCCAGCTATACCACTCCTAGGTATACATCCAAAAGAGGCTCAAGTACACAAAAAGGACATTTGCTCAACCATGTTTGTAGCAGCTTTATCTGTAATAGCCAGAAGCTGGAAACAACCCAGATGCCCCTTAACTAAGGAATGGATATAAAAATTGTGGTACATCTACACAATGGAATATTACTCAGCAATTAAAAACAAGGAAATCATGAAATTTTGCAGGTAAATGGTGGGAACTGGAAAAGATCATCCTGAGTGAGCTGTCCCAGAAGCAGAAAGACACACATGGTATATACTCACTCATATAGACATATAACATAGGATAAACCTACTAAAATCTGTATACCTAAAGAAACTAATCAAGAGGGAGGACTTTGGCTAAAATGCTCAATCCCCATCCAGAAAGGCAAAGAGGCTGGACATCAGAAGAAGGAGAAAACAGGGAACAAGTTAGGAGTCTGCCACAGAGGGCCTCTGAAAGGCTCTGCCCTGCAGACTATCAAAGCAGATGCTGAGACTTATGGCCAACCTTTGGGCAGAGTGCAAGGAATCTTATGAAAGAAGGGGGAGTTAGTATGACGTGGAGAGGATAGGAACTCCACAAGGACCAAATATATCTGGGCAAAGGAGTCTTTTCTGAGACTGATACTCCAACCAAGTACCATGCATGGAGATAACTTAGAACCCCTGCACAGATGTAGCCCATGACAGTTCAGTGTCCAAGTGGGTTCCATAGAAATGGGAACAGGGGCTGTCTCTGACATGAACTGATTGGCCTGCTCTTTGATCACCTCCACCTCAGGGGGGAGCAGCCTTACCAGGCCACAGAGGAAGACAATGCAGCCATTCCTGATGAGACCTAATAGACTAGGATCAGAAGGAAGAAAAAGAAGACCTTCTCTATCAGTGGACTTGGGGAGGGGCATGCTTGGAGAAGTGGGAAGAAGGCAGGAAAGGAGGGAGGTTCAGGGGGATACAAAGTGAATAAAGTGTAATTAATAAAAAATTAAAAAAAATAACACAGGTGTGATCCCAGCACTCAGGGAGGCAGAGGCAGAGGCAGGTGATCTCTGAGTTCGAGGCCAGCCTGGTCTACAAAGTGAGTCCAGGACAACCAGGGATACACAGAGAAATCCTGTCTCAGAAAAGCAAAAAAACAAAAACAAAAACACCAAACAAACCCCCAAAACAAAAAACGTTCATTGGAATCATAATAAACAATTCCCCCCAGCAAAACAAAAATATAGCTAAAATCCAATGAAATCAATAGACTAAAATCAAGAATTGGTGCTATACTTTGACGTAAAGCCTTAAAACTTCTAAAATATTTGATTTATAAATATTTAAATAGTTAATTCATTTAGCACATAAAATAATTTATTCATAAAAATTTATTCATTTTTATAGAACTCTAACAGACAATTTTCAAAATTTAAAAGCAAACAGCATAATTTTGCAATTCTGATTTTATAGGAACATAAACCTTTTGAGTATATATTGTATCAAAGTGGAAAGTTTAATCAGTTTTGCTTACACAGTACAAACATGCTTTCATAGTATATCAGATTTTGGAATCTTACTCAGTCACAGGAAATTCACTGGAGGAAAACATGGCCATTCTAAAAACAGAACATGGTTCCATCTGAAGCATGACGGTGGTGAGGTCCTGCAGGACTAGGTGTGGTCACGTGACTCTGATCCTGGTTATGCCACTCCACCACACACCTACAGACTGAGGGCTGAAAGTGATCTGTGAAAATGAAAACCACCACCATGCCACGGCAGGAGTGATGGATGTTTTATTTTCTCTTTCCACACCACCTTACCCTTTAAAGGCAAAGACATTAAGCAATTACTGAACAAAAGTGAAGGAGGGCAAATTGAGAAAGTACCTCCCAGGGTACAGAGTGTCTCATTCAAGGGTGGAGAGGTGGGAGCTCAGGGCTAAATGGGGGTGTCTGCAAAGGGGGGAGATGCTACCGTGCTCCGTCCCTTCAAGCATGCTTCTCCTCCCCACAACTTTAATCCAGCCCAAATGGCCTAGCCACTCCTCTGGGATACAAAGGGAAAACGTGGCTCATTAAATATATAAAGCATGATCTCCAAGTGCATGGAACAGAAAATTATTCCCTTCTATATGCAGTGACAGGCCTTTCCAGTAAAAACTTGCACAAGCCTCGCCTTCCTTTCTTCACTGGGGGAGAAACACTATTATGGAAGATGTCTCCAGTGCTCTCCTCACTGCTTCAGGTAATAAACTGTTCTTCACTCTTTTATCTCTTAACTGCCTGTCTTTGCACTCACCTAAGGGAGGACCCACTGTGTTCAGTCACATTATGAGGAAGCTTGTGGAAGGCAGTTATGTCCTGGGGTATTTATGTCAGGTCATAAAGATTTAGGTCTAGAGTTACAAGAGGCTGTAAGCTGCCATGTGGGTGTTGGGAACTGAACTCCAGTCCCCCCAAGAGCAGCAAGTGCTCTAAACTGCTTAGCAACTTTCTAGCTCCTTGATCCTGATGGCCAACAAAGTGACACTTAGTGACTAAATACCATGGTGACAATGACCACCTGATGAAAAACACTCCCAAAAGGCTTTTCCAGTTATCAGAAAGTACAAACAGCTGTGTGGTGGTAGTGTAAGCCTTTAATTCCAGCACTCAGGAGGCAGAGGCAGACAGATCTCTGAGTTCTAGGCTAGCCTGATCTACAGCGTGAGTTCCAGGACAGCCAGGGCTACAGAGATCCTGTCTTGAAAAACCAAAACCAAACAAAACCAACCAACCAAATAACTAACAAGCAACAACATAAATGAAATTTTGTGTGGTCAGGTTTATTCAACTAGACCTCTTGCACAAAAACAAGGCTAGAGAACATTCAGCAATGTTTAGCACAATTCCCACAATCCTTAGACCGGCAGACTTGCTGTAAGATTTTTATGGACTGGCAAGGATGTTTTTTTGAATCACTTTTGAGAATGTTACTTTCCTACAAGCCACGTTACCCTGAGAACTGACAGCATGCCCAAGACACATTTGTGGTTCTCTCCTTTTTCCTGAGACTGCCCACTATTATTTGCTTCTTATGTTTCCCACAGGAAAGTAGGGCATCTTGTTCAACAGTGTCTGGCACATGAAAGTGCTAAATAAACATTAGCTGAATGAATAAATAAATAAGTTTCATATGTATATAACATGTCTCATATAGTATAATGAAGTTCTGTTTGGGAAAGAGGAAAAAAATCTCTCACAAAAATCAAAGACAACAATGGGAAGCAAGAAAGATAACCAACAGTTCCCATCAACTGAGGTTAACAGATTTTGATGTAAAAACTATAAAACCAACCAACCAACCCTACCTCTACCCCAAATGCCATATTCAACAACTGATATTGCCCGGAGATGTAAAAGTATCTGACTTATTTCAACTAAAAGTTAACATAGAAGTGCACTCTGGAAGGCTCATGAACAAGAGCCCTGCAGCTGTAGCAAAATGCACAGGAGCCCAGTGCTCTGTCTGTTTCAACATGGAGGAGACTCTGCTGAATATACCAGGTGAGTGTCCAGGGTCCCGTAGAGAGACTGCAGCACGCCGAGGACCTTTTCCTGAATGCTGTCAACTTGCTCAGGAGGACAGTAGTCATCCAGACTCGACCTGGAGCCAAGAGGGAAAGAGGAAGAATAGGGTGTGGATGAGAAAGTCGCTGTGTAGAGGAATAGCCTGTGTGTGCTGCTGTCAGTGAGGAGACATGCTGGTGACTGCAGAGGACCAGCCGAGAGCCGGCAGATGCTTACCCTACTTCAGGTGCTTTGTGAGAATTCTTCTTTATTGTTTTTTAAAAGAGTTATTCTATAGGACAGGTAGACTTACTAAGGATTGGTATTTGTACTGAGACAGGACGTCGCTTTGTAGACCTGGATGGCCTTGAACTAGATGTAGACCAGGTCGGTCTCAAGCTTCCTGGGGCCTTCCTGCCTCTGCCTGTAAGTACATATTGTAAGTATGTGCTACAGTGGCTTGGCTCAGGCTGCATACTTTACCCACAGAGCCATCTCCCCATATCATCTTCTATGTGCTTTTTAAGGCTCACAACCCCCACATAGGTGAGAAAGGGTTTGGTTTCAGGGTAAGAGAATTTTTTTTTTTTTGTTAAAATTTTATTTTTCTGTGTTTGTGTTCTGTGTGTGAGTGTGTACTTGTGTGTGGATGTCCACAGAATCTAGAATAGCGCATTGGGCACTGTAGAATCGGCGCTGGAGTGGTTGTGATCTACCTGATGTTGGGTGCTGAGGACAGAACTCAGGTCCTCTCCAAAAGCAACAAATGCTCTCCACTGCTTAGCCAGCTCTTCTGTGTGAGTATGCGTGTGGGGATGGGTGGTGGGGTTTTTAAAAGATAGTTTTAGGGGAGTTCTCTTCTCTTACCAGTATCTAGATGCTGCTTGTGTTTCTTACTGACAGCCCTATTCTCTATCTTCAAAGCCGGCAGAATGGTGCCTTCCAAACTTCACCTCCTCTGATTCTGCTATTTCTGGCTCCTCTTACGAGGAGTCTTGTGACAATACTGGTTCCACTCAGGTAATTTAGGATAATCTCATTTCAAAATCCTTGCATTCATCAAATTGCAAAGTCCCTACTGCCACAGAGAGACAACATATCCTCAGGTTCCAGAGAGTGGGACATGGACATCTCTGATACTCACCTTGCAATTGTCACAAGAGTAGGCTTTGGTAGATTCTTCAATAAACAATACACAGCCTGAATAAGATACTCAATTTCTTCCTCTGTGCTGATATGATGAGGAAGTTCTGAATAATCGCAGGTTAGCCCAGCCTGGTGAACCTGACAAGAAAAGAAATTAGAAATGACACTGTGAGCTGGGAAGACAGCTCAATGGCAGCATTTGCTTAGCATGCACAAGCACGGGGATTGTGGCCCAATACTGAAAACAAAAAAGTTCCAAATGACATTTAGAATTTTATTGATTTCAGAAGATTCTTGAGACAGTGGGCAGTTAGGGGATAGATAGGTAGGTCCTTAAAGCTCACTGGCCTGTCAACCACGATGAACTAATGAGCTTCATATTCAGTGAGACTGTATCTCAAAAATGAAGGTTAATGATGACAGTGAGATGGCTCACCAGTGAAAGTGCTTGCCAAAAGAAGCTTGGTTCTGAGTTTAGCCTCAAAAACCCATGTAGAAGCAGGAGCACAGCAATTCTATAGAGTCCGACCTCGACATCTGCACCCCATCACCTTTCTCCCTTTCTGTCTCTCTTTCTCTCTCACACACAGGAGGGAGAGGCAATCAAGGAATGCCTGGGGCACACTTACCTGAACACACATTTGATTATATCAACATTTTCAAGCCCCGGATATCATGCACCTATCATTCTTTTTCTTTTTTATGTTATGTGTAGAGGCATTTCCCTGCATGTATGTATATGTACCACACGTGTGCAGTGCCCACAGAAGCCAGAGGAGGGCATCAGATCCCATGGAATTGGAGTTACAGATGGTTGTAGGCAGTCACGTGGGTGCTGGCAACTGAACTTGGGTCCTCAGAAAGAGCAGCCAGTGCTGTTATCAGCTCAGTCTTTTCTCCAGCCCCAATATCTGTTATTCCTAACAAATGCCATTTTCAGAAAAGAGTAAGCTTTGGCTTAGCAGGCATTAATAATGATATTCTTTTGCCATTTTTTTTTTTTTTAATTTTCCTAAGTGGAGGTTCAGTTAGTAAACACCAGCTCAAATAAAGTGGTATGACAGCATTCCACATACAAAGAAAACATTACAACGCCTCTCACTGATGGACAGGGGCAGCAGGCTAGGAGGCAGGACACCTGGAGTCTTGGCTGTCGTTTCTTAACAATCTGAGAAATGATCTCGAACTCTTGCATTTTGAGATCAGGCCTTGCTATATAGCCCAGACTGGTTTTGAAGAAAGCATATTATCTAGGGTAGCCAGAAACTGCTATTGTAGCCTCCACTCCCAGAGTGTGGGAACTATTGTGCTGGCTTCAACTAGGTTTTAAAGCTTTAAGTTTTCTCAAATTTTGGGTCAAAAAGGAAAATGTATGTTTTAAGGTCTATATGAAGCGACATGAGATTAGAAATGATGATTGGAAGCATCTTTGTCTCACCACTCAGGCCACTACTGATAAGCAGCAAAGAACTAACACTTTTCAAATGTAGCAAACAATTTTCTTCTTCTCTTTTGCTTTTTATGATCAGGTAAGTTTTCAGAAAAAGGGAAAGAACCTAAGTAAAAACTAATGGCCAGTCATGGTGGCACACTCTGTTAGTCCCCACACTCGTCTCACATACGAGAAGTCTGACGCCTGCCTGTCTAAATAGCAAGTTCCAGGTCAGCCAGGGCTACACAGAGAAACAGAGTAAAATAGAACACAGGCTCAAAATAGAAAAGGTAAAGATCAACAAATGGACAAAGTTAGAAATTACAGACTAAATCATGGACAATGAGATGAGACTGGACTATGGACAAGCACAGCGAACAACAAAGGAGAAGTAGTAACAGCAGGGCATGGTGATGCATGCCTAAAATACAGAACTGTGAGGTGGCAAAGGGCTTGTAAGTGACAGACTGCGGGCCTACGGGAGACCCATGTCAAATCATAGTAAAAACAGTAAAAGACTCAGAGCGCCTCTGCTTCTTAGACAGATTACAACAAGAGTCTTTTTCCTGGAAAAATATTTTTAAAATTCTTGTTTCTAAAAAGTATGTATTTTATCATTCATGAATTTCTTTAATAATTCATTCACAGTCCCAGTTAACATGAACAAAATGAGCCAGTTTAACAAAAACTTCACACAGGAAGTTATCTGTATAAAGCATCAATTTTACAATGCTAAAATATTTACCATTTCATAGTCTGGTACTTCCATCCGTTTTTTCAAACTCTGTACAAGTGGAACTAGTGATTCCATTCTGGAAAAAAGCCACCCAGTCATTAAACACAACAACCTTGAGCAGATTTAACAACAAATGGCACACTAGATACAACTTTACCATGGATTGGGGTTAGGAGTTGTGCCGGATACTTTTATGTTAACTTGACACAACCTAAAGTCATCTGAGAGGACAGAACCTCAACAGAAAAAATGCCTCTGTAAGATCTGGCTGTAAGGCATGTTCTTAACTAGTGATTGATGGGGAAAGGCCAAGCTCTGTGGGTGGTACGCCTGAGCTGGTGGTCCTGGGATCTATAAGAAAACAGACTGAACAAGCCATAGGGAGCAAACCCGTAAGCAGCACCCCTCCATGGCCTATGCATCAGCTCCTGCCTCCAGGTTCCTGCCCTGCTTGAGTTCCTGTCCTGACTTCCTTTGATGATGACCACTGACATGGAGGCTTAAGCTCAATAAACCTTTTGTTTTTTTTGGTCATGGTATTTCATCACAGCAATAGTAACCCTAACTGAGACAAGTTGCTACCTGCATAGCGGGGTATTGCTGTGACAGACCCGACCATGCTCTTTTGGGGAGGATTGTGGAGGGGCTTGGGAACTTTGGGCTGGAAGAGCCATTGAGCACTTAGTGTGATGATCTGTAGTAGCTTGGAAGATAAGACTGAGGGCAGTGCAGATGATGGAGGCCTGGCTTGTGAAGTATCAGAGGGAAGCAAAGACTCTACAGGGTCATTTGTGTGAAGAATCTGTGGTATCTGGGCAGCTGGAGTGAAAGAATCAGCTGTGATTAATAGAGACCTGAACTAGTAAAGTATAACCTTTTGTTTTCCTGGGAGAAAAGATGCTGGTTAGCTGGCTGAGAAATTAGTGGTGATTAAGACCAGCATGGTTGAGGTGAATTCTCTGGAAAGTGTTTCCTGAGAGTTAGCATGCAGAAGCTGTGTTCCAGATTCAGCCAAGGTTATACCTTGTGCTGGCAGGTGATCTTGGTAGTACAAGAATCACCCAGGTGGTGCTGGTTTTGAAAATGTGAAGCGGTCACGGAGAGTAGCTGAGGCTTGGCACTATGTGGTAGGGCTGGAGTTCCTGAAGAGAGCCCAGGAGAAGTAAAAGTGCAGCCCAGTTGCAGCAAGAGACCCCAGCAGTTTTGGAGATGCCAGTTTGGAGACGCCAGTGCCATGTGATGACCACGAATAGCAGCAGCAGTGAAGTGGAGCCAGCCTGAGCCTAGAAGACAGGCTGTGTGTGCTGTAGAGGGAAGCAACCCAAGCCCCTTGGAGGAGCCCAGAAGACAGCAAGTGAATCTCAGATAATTGGACACTGAATAATTTACACTGTTGGGAGTTTGGTTTTGCTTTGATCTAATTGTGACTGTACCCTGCTTATTCCCTTTCGAAGCAAAAAAGTATTTAATTTTGATTTTTACAGGAGCCCACAGTTGAGAGGTTTTAAACTTTTTTTTTATTATTAATTAGTTTATTCACTTTGTATCGCCCCATAAGCCCTCCTCCCCTGAGGTTTTACATAGTCTCACTATGTAGCTCTGGCTGGCCTAGAACTCAAAAAATCCTTTTGCCTCTACCTCCTAAAAGTGTAAAAGTGTGTACCACTTTGCCTGGCCGAAAGTTATTATTATTGCAATTATTTTAGATAAAACTGTTTCACAGAGCCCAGGTTAGCTTGTAACTCAATGTACAGCTGATGATGACCTTCAACTACTGATCTTCCTACTTCTACCTCCAAATCCTTTAAGACACAGCACATAAATAATACCCAGTAAAGGCTGGAGGCCAATGGCCAACATTGCATGTCTTCCACAGTTATTTTTTGAGACAGGATCTTTCACTGACTCTGGTACCTATCAATTCAGCTAGGCTGGTTGGCCAGGAACCTATGAGGATATCCTTGTCTCTGCCTCCCTAGTACTATGGAGCCTGGCTTTCTAAATAGATGTTCGGGATCTGAATTCTGGGCCTCATGGTAATGTAGCAAGCACTTTACTGAGTGAGCCATCCCACTAACACTTAATTCTAATTTTCAGCTATTCACCCAACAAACTTGGAAAAGTGATTAGAATGGATAATTCATGATTTGGGAGCAAACAGTTTAGGGGTCTTACCCGGGATTTGAAGCCCATCTCTGCACAGTTTCTTCACTGTCACCATCACACAAATCCGCAAAAGTTGCTTCTAAATCTTCTAACTGATGAGTTCGAGTATCAACAATATCTACCAAATCTTCCTTTAAAAACATGGAAAACTGAGGTTATACTTATTTCTTCAAAATACAGGTAAAATACTATTATGATGACAATACCAATTCATTTAGCTAAAATTATTTTCTAACTGGGGCATTCACCAAGAAACACACATGCATGTGTGAGTACATATAAGCATACAGGGAATCTGGATACTTGAGAACATGTAAGGATACACATGTATGTATCCGTGCCTATATGTACACAATCTGGATAGTTGAGAACCATGTAAGAATACACATGTATGTGTGAGAACATATATGCACACAGAGAATCTGGAGAGTTGAAAACATGTTAAGAGCTACAAGGTTTTATTAGAGCCAGGCAAGGTGGTCCACACTTAGGATCCCAGCACTCAGGAGGCTCAATTTGAGGCCAGCTAGAGCTATACAGACTCTATAAAACAACAAACTAAGAACAGAAGTAAGGCAGTTTTTAGTGGTGGGTAAAGCGCAGGGTTTACCTCAGTGAGGTTACTGTCCGGCTTTTTAAACTGGTAAAGCTCCTGGAGAATTTTGTACTCATCCTGTAAGACAGAACACAAAATCCCAAGGTTAGGAGTTTCCAACACTATGTCTGCGATACCGGGAGCACATCTTAGATAATATCCAAAGCTTTGTCTGAAAGAACTGTACACTTTATTGTTGCACTGTATACAGGTACATTGTATACTCTAGATTTCTAAAGCATACCTAATTTGTCAGGACAAGTTTATCCGGCTGGCCATAATACAGTATAAATATTAGCTAACAGGCTAACCGATCATGCAAGTGTTTCTCATACTATATTATTATGCAAATGGATATATCCCAAGACCTAAAGAGACTTTAGCTGTTTATGGGAGACATACATGTCGTCAATGATGATGGCAGAAGATTCTCCTCGTGTACTGTGCATCTACTTCCCTACCAACAGAGACCTCTGGAGTAGAAAAGCAATGCTGGCATACAGAATGGCAGACACAGAACCTGAGTCAGGGACAGCTCCATATATGAGAGGCTGCATCTGGCCTCAACTGTTTTGTTGAGTGTATGCACTGAGTGCTTCACTGCTTATAACAATGCTGTGAGCTGGTGCTTAGTTATTATTTAAGAACTTTCTTTGCAGCACTGGGGTTTGAACCAACGACCCTGAGCAAGCTAAACGCTCTACCACTGAGATATACCTTTAGCAGGCTGTGGATGACTGCTTACTGCAAGTCAGAAAGGCAAGCACCCAGGAAGACAGAGTTAGTAAGAAAAGGATGTTTAATTACTTATCATCACTGTTTCTTTTCTTTTCTTTTCTTTTATTTTTTTGAGACAGTCTTTCCTGTAGCCAGGCTGGATTTGAACCTACAATCTCATGTATCTACTTCCCAAGTGCTGGTATTACAAGCATGTGCCATAATGCCTTGCCCTGTTATCTTTGTTTATATTAAAAGTAGAGACAGGCCAGTGAGGAGGGTCAGAAGGTGTGGGCACCTGCCACTAAGCCTGATGGTCTTGAAACTGACTTTGGAAAGTTGTCCTCTGATCTTCACATGTGTGCTGTGCCATGTGTCCCCCCCAATAAATACATTACTGTAATAAGAAATGAAAATATAGCTAGTAAACGATAAAATATAATGTGGAGTGGATATCTTTATCTGAGGTGGTTAGAAGCAGAGGTCCTATCAAATCCCAAAGTCTTTCAGATTTTGGAGTATCTGGGGACTGTCATGGTGCACAGAAGGTTTTCAATTTTGGACTTTTTAATTAGGAATGATTAGCTTGTATATACTCTAAAGATTGGAAAGGAACAGAAGACTATGTGGCAGAAAACACGGCCTTTGAAACTAAATAACTATCTGTCTGTTTACAGAAAGCTTGCAATCCAAAAAGCTCTGTAATCCAGAGATAGGCCATGCCATTCTCAAGGTCTGTTTTCAAAATACCAGTTACCTGAGTGAACATTTCTTTGAAGGGATTTTTGACAGAAAAAAAATCCAAGTCAATATCTAAAACAAATGCATCTCCAGTCTTGAGCATTTCCAGGATCGCCCCACGGCTGGCTGTGCTCTGGCGCGGCTGATCTCCGGAAGGATATGAGCAAGACGGCTCTTGGCAAGCATGGTCACTTCTCAGTGTCACTGCATCCGCCTGAAGTCCTTCTGAGCACGCGTCCCCATTAGAAGCAGCAGTGCTCTCTCTACCTGCCAGTGCCAGCTTGGGCTTCTTGGCAGAAGACACAGAGTCACCATCATCTTGATTGTTACAGAGTTTGAACGGTTCTACCATAACCACATCCAATTGTAAAGGTTTTTGGTTCTCTAGCTGATCTTCAGGTACAAAAAGACCATCACTTAGGAAGTAATAATCGGTACTTGTAACCCTGGACCAAAGGAAAAAATATTTTAAGCAATGAGCACATTACCTGACTTTCTACTATGACACTGTAGAAAAAGGACACATCTGGCAAAAACAAGGCACTTTAACACTTGTACTTTCTCTTCAGCGGAAGCAGTTTTCTCCACATTCGGAGCTGGCACATCATTGCCCAAAGTAAAGACTTTCACATAGTCTTTACTTTCTGTAGTCCACCTTGCAGCTAGGTATGGCCGCCATATATATATCATATATCATATATCTATATCACAGTGACTGTGATAGGGAAATAGGTGAAGACAGTAGTGCCCTCCCTATCCCTGATGACCACCCATGACCATTAAAGTGGAAGGTTACTTTGGCTTATGAGACCGTGGAAGCAGTTTACTGGCTTGTTGTGTCTTCAGTTGTGTTTAGCTTGTTCTCTCTTTAACTCTATAAAACTCTCTCGGTAAATCAAGATGATGTTACTAATATAAATGACAAAAACACATACCACCAAAGGTAATACTGTAAAAAATGGAAGCACAGAAATAAAGGGGACACTTTTCATTATCTGTTAGGGCCTAGAAAGTTATGTGTACATTGATAAAAAGTGTCTCCTACCCCAAGAAAAGTTTTTTCCTAACCCAAAATGAACTACTACTTTTAAAGACATTATAGTAGAAAACCTACGTACTGGATATAGACATTGTAGTAGCCATGATAGGGGGTGTTGGATGTTGGACATCCAAAAAAACCTGACCCACATATAGCTCAAATCAGAGGGCATAATAATTTAACTAAGAATAAATACCAAAAAAAATCACATCAATAAATTTAAAACTTAAATAGACTTGTCCAGACACTGACTTATTAGAAAATGAAAACAAAAACAGTGAATGTTGTTGTTTTGTATGAGGCTGAAGATAACCTTGAACTCTAGATCTTCCTACCTCCGCTGTGATTACAGGTGTGTGCTGCAACTCCCAGGTAAACTTAAGTTTGTTTTTTTTTCAGTGCTGGGGCTTGAACTCAAGGCCATAGGCATGATAGGCAAGTGCTCTACTGCCGAGCTATACCTCCAGTCTTTTATTTTTGCATCTGAAACAGGGTCTCCCTCTGTAGTTCAGGCTGACTCCTAAATTTCAACACCTTCCTCTGTTAGTCAGTCTCTCAAGGTCTGCGATTACAGTGAGTGCCACTCACTCCACCTGCCTCACTTCTAAAAGTTAAATTAAACACACTATGTTGCATCAAACAGAGCAGGAAAAAAAAAATGCAACATTGGTTATATAAATCTATAAGGTACTCTAAAGATGGGATGAGGTTAGCCAGCAATGGAATCCAAATTCCAGAGAATGCTATTAAGACAAAACAATTTAACTAGCAACAGATATAAGGAGTACATGAAGGAGACCAAGAGAATTAAAAGTCTATTTCTGATGATTCAAGACTATTTTTTGGAGGAGCTGGGGCTTACCATGACTCTGTGGTAAGCTTTTAGGATGTTATTATAAGATCCAAAGTATAATAAAAGGAGTTCAAGTCCTTTCATACTTAGCAAAAATGAGGAAATTACCTGATTGTTGTGGTAGAAATGTCTTTGCCTACTAAGAAGTGGTGTTTGCCCTCTCTGATTTGCTGAGCCCATGTGGGATGAAGCCATACTATGTGAGAAAAATGGCCAGCGTAAACTGCAGGCATAATCCAATTTTCAATACTTAATTCTCTGAAGAAAAAAAGAAACATTAAACTATTAGTGAACAGTTTTTCCCAAACATTGAAGATAGCAGGTCTCAAGAAGTCTCAGGACGACTAGACTTTTCGTGGAATACTATCTTCCTTTTGCTGAATAAACATCTGCACTGATGGCACAGAAGCATCATGGTGCCAAGCAAGGCCTACTAGGAGTCACTCCATGTTTCATTACTAGCAAGCACCCTGTCCAAAGCTAGCTTTACTTAAGAATATTCGTGGTTTTATTAATGCTTACTTACTCCTGATTAGCAACTTTAAAATATTCTGTGTAGCAACACAAGGAGCATACCAAAACTTCTGCTATAGACTGTGAAGTACAACGGTTGCTTCAAGGAAGAGCAAGTAGGATTGATATGAAAGTAGTATACTTTTTTCTTTGAAAGATCAATTAACTGTGGTTATTTAGACACAGGGCTGAACTGTTGGATTTTGTATCTCAGCTAAGCTTTCAGAAGCTTGTGGAGTTTTGTAGGAGGATAAAAGAATAGTCAGAACATTGCTTATCTGAATTAGTAATGAAAATACTATCTCATATATTCAGGCCATATGCTAATCATAAAATAACAGTTGTTTTGGAAATTCACGCAACAGACTGAATGAAACAGATAGAGTCCAGGTGTTATTACAAGGGCAAATATTAAAAAGATCTTAAGAGAAATTTAAATAATGCCACATGATAGTTTTGTAAATGCATTTTTTAAAATAAGAATAACTTGTCTAATGAACATCTGAAAATTTTATTTTAAATTTTAAATAAAGTAAACATACACAACTGTAACTCTCATTATTTCCTCGGCTTGATTTTTAAGAGTATAAAAGAATGCAGACATATGGGCATGGTGGCATTCACATGCAGTCTCTGCACTGAGGAGTCAGAGACAAGAAGAGGGGTTTAATGTTGGCCTCAGCTATGAAACAAGTTGAAAGCCAACTTGGTCCACATGAAACCCTGTCTCAAAAAAGAACCAGGGCTACTTAAGTTTAGGAACTGTTATTTTATGATTAGCATGTGGCTTGAATATATGCTTGACATTCTTTTTCAATTTCTAAACAATGAGAGACAGTAAGGGAATGGTGGAACTACCACATTTCTTTAGGAGTTAGTGCTCTGATTTGGAGCTTTGGAAAAAGTAACTTTCTACAGTAGGCTGAATATAATATACATTTACATATGAGACAACAAGATTTTGGGGAACTTTATTAGAGAAGAGAAACTAGAATGCCCTTATTTGAAGATACAATCATCGACTTTCCTTCTATTCCTATGACTTTATGTGTGTGTGCAGTGTGCACAAGAGTGCAGGTGCCTGCAGAGGCCAGATGATGGCACTGGCTCCTCTACAGCAGTTACAAAGTGTTTGTGAGACTGTCAGTATAGGTTCTAAGAACCCCACTTGGGTCTTCTGCAAGAGTCAGCGCTCTTAACTGCCAAGCCATCTCTCTAGCCCCACAGTGCTATTTATAAAACTGACAGTCAACAGGATCTGTGACCTGAAAATAAAGACACTGAAATGTAGGAAGGACACAATCCTAGAAAGGATAGGCAAATTAAAGGTGTTTCATTTCATGATTCTGAGATTGCTTTTTAGAGAAGTCACATTTTCTCATACCTCACTACTGGACTGTAGATGGGGAGAGGAAGGAGAATGTCTCAAGATTACTTCTCAAGTCTCTTCTAGTGTTCCAAATCCTAAATTAGAGGCTGTCACATATTGGCTTAGCTGTTCATATATATATATAATATATTGTAAAACTTTATTGGAACAACTTTTTTTGCCACTGTTTACAGAACATCCATGATTTCTTTCACATTACAAAGACAGGGGCAACTAGTTGTTATATGAATATAATGCCAAGAAACTTAAAGCGCGCGCACACACACACACGCACACACACACACTGTCTTAGTTTCTTTTTACATTGTTATGATAAAATACTATGACAAAATTAACTTAAGGTTTGACAAGGAGGCTCTTTTAGTTTGTCAAAAACTTGTTCTAATTAATATAAAAAGGGCAAACAAACAAAAAAACCCTATCATGGATGTAGCAAAAGTCTATTGTTTATCGCCTGCTACACACTGTACTTCAAATACACAAAATATAATAAAAAGACGTTACCCAAACAGTGCTTCTTTATCAAACACAGTGTCTGCTGGCATATTCACAGGAATAAGAAGGTCTGGATGTGAATCAAAATGTAAGAAACTTATATTGCTGGCAGGAAGATGCTTCGAACCTATGGCCCGGTATATGAAGGGCAGGACCTGTAATAGACACACATACACATTGAGAATTGCACTGTCAAGTGCAGACAAAAAAGGGGGGGAGGGGCTAACTCCACAGACCTGAAGTGCATCAGGGTATTAAAAATGGGAAAGTATAAAATTTCTTCACTGTAGATAGTTCTGATGATAATTTCCATCTTTATCGCTCAACAGTCCAGAACCACTCACTCTAGCATTAACTGTATTCCAGTATAGTTTTGGGGCATTTTCTGTCCCTTTAGGATGGTGGGGCTGGACTAGATGACAGCTTTTCTTCTTACACTCTGTAGGCTCAGGTTTACTACTAAACTTGAAAGCACAGACCAACCCAAAGTTGGCTTTGTCTCAGAAATCAACTTTTTTCCTCTTTTAACTTTCTCCCATCTATCCCTAAATCTCCTTATCCCCCTTTTTCCTGTGGGGAGGGGATGAGCCCAAAGAGCTTCACTCTTGGCCTTTGTTTTATATCCAGAGACCCTCCATGGGCCCTTTAAACAAATCTCCTAGACCCATGGACCCTCTTGGTGGTCTTCCGTAAGTCTCGTTTTACTGCAGCACTGCCATAAAAAACGTTAACAGCCCTATAACACGATCTACGATTACTGTCCCCATTTCACAGCAGAGGGTTCAGGCTCGGCAGGAGACAGGCGGCAGCTAGCGTTAGGGGCTGGTCAAGGCTCTGAAGGCTGCCCGGGTTCGAATCCTTCCTGTCACGACTTGGTGGCGTCTGTCGCCAGCTCACCTCCTGGTGGTCCTCCACCACCCACACCGGGAGCTTGGGGTAGCGCCTGAGGAGCGTGTGGTCGCCTCCGGTGTCACTCATGTCTCCGCGCGACTCAGGCTGCGGGGACTCCGAGGCACCCACGGAGGTGCCCGGCATCTCCAAGCCGCGCGCCCCACTGCCCTTTTGTGGCGGAAACGCACGCTCACCCGGTTGCGCTTCCGGATTGGAGGACGACAGGGTGGAGGGGCGGGTGTAAATACTGGAGGTAGTGTTGATTGGCTTAACCGTCTGTCACTCCCTCTGGCCCGCCAATCACTGCGCAAAAGGTGCTGCGATGCGCTCCTGCGAGTTTTCCCTCCCTAGGCCCAGCTTTCTCAGGTTTGCTGTTTTAATTCCCGGTTTCCTGTTCCGGAGGCGCGGGCGGCTCCTGTGCTGTCGAAGCTGTTATAGTAACCGAGGGTCCCCTCCGCCGGCGACCCCGGGACGCCCGGTAGGTAAACGGGGACCTTGATGTGTGCTTGGAAAGCGGGTATGGAGGGTTGGGATTTAAATGGAGTCCAGGGCTGAGCGAAAGGATCCTAGGAGTTGGGTCTGGCAGCGTCGGAGTATATCTGCCGCCTGGGGCGAAAGAGTGACCCTAGGTACCAAACCCGCGGACACGCAGTAGCGGGGTGGGATGCCTTTCATCTGTTTCTGGAGCGCAAGCCATGCCCCGGGCGCGGGGCTGGAGGGGAGCGAGACCCGGAGTCCCGCGCGTTGCTCGCAGGCTGGCGGGAGATGCAAACTAGCGAACGTGCAATCGCGCATCAGCCACGAGGAGGCCGGGCTTCAGGTTCCTCCAAGGGAAAGTAAGGCGTCCCAGCGACTTCTAGTCGATTGCCGTCCCTTGACGACCAAACTGTTCAGAGTAGCTCCCTTGGTTTCTTTCCCTGCTTTCAAATGGCAGCTCATGATAGGCATTTTCCATTTGCATTGAATTCATTGACTTGAATTAAACTTTGCATCCTTAATACTGTGGCATAGTATTTTCTAGCTTTACCAACCGTAAAACATTCAGGATGGTCTGGTAGTGAGTGTTCCGTTGCATTTTAACACTGTCGAGAGGTGTTAATTCCCCTGACACTTACCCACCTCTAGATCCAGTATATTCCTTTTTGTTCTCCTGGGTTCTGTACGTGCTGATTCCCTTTCCCTCCCTCCCCTCCCCTCCCCTCCCTCCCATTCTTTTTCTCTTTATTTCTTTTCTTCTTTCATTTGTTCTGTTTGTTTTTCGAGGCAGGGTTTCTCTGTGTAGCCTTGGCTGTCCTGGACTTGCTTTTGTAGACCAGGCCTGCCTCAAATTAACAGAGATCCCCCTGCCTCTGCCTCTCTGAGTGCTGGGATTAAAGTCGTGTGCTCCTGCATCCAGCTCCTTATTTTTTTGTATTTATCACAGTGCATTTCTCTTTTTGTAGTGTTCAGGATGTCATATTATTGCTATTACTGCTATTATTATCATCATCATTATTATTAAAACATTTGTATATGGGTTTTGAGATCCTTGAACCCTGCAGGCTTGTGTGCCTTATTCATCTTTTAGTCTACAGAGCTTGGGACAGTGTCTCACAAGTATTGGCCTAGTAAACTGGAATCAGTGAATATGTCTGCTTCCCAAGTGGTTTTGTTAATGCAGGTTTGTAGAAACATGCACAGTGTGTGAGGGTACAACTTGCTTGCCGTTTATTGTGTGTAGAGCCTGTGAAGGATGCAGAAATGATGAAGGAACCCATGATTTCAAGGATCTAGTAGCATACTGGAGGCATTCAGCATGGGCACATACGGCTGTCACATGAGGCAGTTTCTGGTAAGTTTCATAAAGTAATTTATGACTTATAATTTATGACTAATAAACGGAAGCTACCAGTAATTGGTAGAGCTCAGTTATTTGTATTTTTTTACTTTTGTCATTTTGATAAAGAAAGCATTTTTTAAAATTTTATTTTTGTGTGTGTGTGTGTGAGAGAGAGAGAGAGAGAGGGGGTCAGGATTCTCTAGAGTTAAAGAACTTATAGAATGATACGAAGCGGATTTATTAGAGTTACTTACAGTTTGTGGTCCAGCTGACCCAACAGTGGCTGGCTGTGAATGGAAAGTCCAAGAATCTAGTAGTTGCTCAGTCTACAAGGCTGGATATCTCAGCTGGTCTTCAGTATATGCTAGAATTCCAAAGAAGTAGGCTCTAATGCCAGTGAAGGGATGGACTTGCCAGCGAGGCAAGGGCAAACAGGCAAAGAACAAAGGCTTCTTTCTTCTATGAACTTATATAAACTTCAAGCAGAAAGTATGGCCCAGATTAGATCTAGATTAAAGATCTGGATTAAAGATATATCTGCCTTCCACAAAGATCCCAGTCAGAAGCAGAACTTCCCACTTCATATAAAGCAGAACTCTTCTTGGTTGTAAAGTTGACAACCAAGAATAGCCATCACAGTGTGTCTACATCAGTATTTCTCAACCTGTGGGTCGTGACCCTATGGGGAGGGGTGTCCCAGGTATCCTGCCTATCAGATTAACAACAGTAATGAAATTACAGTTATGAAGTAGTAACAAAATAATTTTGTGGTTGGTGGTCGCTAGAACATGAGGGACTGTATTAAAGGGTTGCAGCATTAGGAAGGCTGAGAACCACTGGTTTACATGTTAGTATGTATACATGTGTGCGGGTGCCTCCAGAGGCCAGAAGAGGGTGTTGGATCCCCTGGCAGTTATGAGGCACACAGCGTGGGTGCAGGGAACTGAACTCTCTGTGTGAGCAGCAAGTGCTCTGAACTGCTGAGGTGTTCTCTAGCCCCTAGAAGGTTGTTTCTAGGTGAAAGCTTTTTATATTTCACTGTGGGTTTTTTTGAGACAGGGTTTCTTTGTGTAGCCTTGGCTGTGCGAGAACTATCACTTTAGACCAGCCTGGTCTCGAACTCAGAGATCTGCCTGTTTCTGCCTCCTGAGTGCTAGAATTAAAGGCAGGTACCACCCCAATCCAATATTTATGGTTGTTTTTTTTGTTTGTTTGTTTTTTAAGCATTTTGCTAAAGTTCATTTATGCGTACAGTGTTCTTCTGTAGGAAGAACTGAGAATGAAAGTAAAGAGTGGTAACTGTTGTGTAAGGTAGGTTGTGGGTATATTTGAATTTGAAAGCAGGTTTCACAGTGATTTTTGTGTTGGGTTTATGCCTACTTTATGTTGCAGTGAAGGGAACTGTGTTTGTGATAGATAGAGGAAGTCTTTCCTTTAGTCTTCAACTAAACCAGACATGGGAGGTGGCTGTGCTTTCGGTCAGTTTAGCAGCGGATAGTTTTGAGTTAGCACAACTGCACAACTAATAAGTATGGGAGGCAATTCGCTAGAAACTTGATAGTAGCTCAGTATGCTCCTGATTTTGTTAGTAAGCTAATCATATTAGAGGATTTAAATTTACTGATAACTGTAAAAAAAGCCAACTTTACTTTATAATGTTGGCAGTTTTGAAAATGTGTTTAAACATTTTATTCTTTCTGTCTTGCAGAACTTAGATTCTGAGTGGAAGATGTAGCATATCTAGAGGATATATTACAATGCAAGGCAACACATGGTAAGTGGTATGCTGGAAATGGCAGGTTAGAGAGACTAGAGAAGAGAGGGTGGGTAGTGGGCTAGGTAGTGGGGTGGGGACTGTGTTCATTCTTTTATCTATGGTGATAACTCATTAGAGATTTGGGTGTGGGGCTAGGAACCAGACCAGAAGAGTTAATGAAATACCCCAGAGCCCTCCCTTGATAAGAGCTTGCAGTTCTTGATTGTAAGTAAGCATTGCAGACAGACCTACATAATTCATTTGTGGACTCTGATGCTTGTAGAACCTGCTAAGAAGCGGGGAATCTATGGAAGGTGTGTTACTCAGAGTTCTCTAGAGTTAAAGAATTTATTGAATGAATCTATATACATAGAGGGGGAAAGGGGTGGATTTATTAGAATAATTTACAGACTCTTGTCCAGCCTACTCAACACTGGCTGGCTGTGAATGGCAAGTTCAAGAATTCTGTAGTTGCTCAGTCCCTGAGCCTAGATGTCTCAGCTGGTCTTCAGTATATACAGGAATCCTTTGGAGTAGGCTCTAATGCTAGTGAAGGAATGGACTTGCCTTGCAAGGCGAGGGCAAGCAAGCAAAGACCAAAAGCTTCCATCTTCCTTGTCCTTATTTAGGCTTCCAGCAAGAAGGTGTGGCCCAGATTAGATCAGGATTATGCATTGATTAAAGATGTGCCTCCCTACTCAAAGATCTGCATCAGAAGTGGCTCTTCCTACTTCAGTTAAGCAAAAATCCCTCAAAAGTGTGTCCTCCATTTTTGATTTTTAGTTCCAGATTAGTCAAGTTGACAAGGAAGACTAGCCTTCACTGATGTGTGCTGATGGGGTTTTTGAAAGATCAGCAGGAATAATACTGTAGCTAATTAAGGAAATTCTCAGGGACTATTTTAAAAAAGTGGTAGGGATTTTTATTTTTTAAAAATATTGATGGTGCACACTTTTAATCCCAGCATGTGGAAGTCAGAGGCAGGTTGATCTCTGAGTTCTGGACTAACCTGCTCTATAACAGATTCCAGGCAAGCCAGGGTTACAGAGTGAGAGCATATCTCAAAAAACCCAAAACCTTTTAATTAAGGTATAGTGACACTACATCATTCCAGTTTTAAAATAAAGTTGTAGTTAAATGAGTTAAGGGAGAAAAGCTTTCAGGATGAGGATTCTCTGGTATATGTCTTGATATTTATTGGGAAGGATAGTGAGTATTCTTGCTTTTCAGTAACTGTACAGATAAAGTTCCTGGCTCATTTCTGCTTGCATACTAAAAGAGGACTGTGTACTTTGTCAGGATGCTAGCATGGTCACATTTTCTTTCATGGTGAAGAATCCTGACTTGATGTTCGGGTTCAGGTGGCTTTCTTGCTATATCCTCTCTCACCAGGTAGAGACAGGGCACCAATCTCATTGTTGGACTACCCCCTTGTCTTACTCTTCTGTTGCTGTGAAGACACTACAAAGAAGGCAGCTCTTATAGGAGAAAGCATTTGAGCCTGGGCCTGACCCTGGTGTGGGCTTTTGAATAATACCCACAATGACATAGCTCCTCCAACAGTTTTAATCCTTCCCAATCAGGTCCACTAACTGGTA